TGGGGTGGGGGTGTGCAATAAGATTCCCCTTTAGTTTGCGCGCGGTGCTCGAACGCCTCTTTGGTCTGATGTTGTAATTGGGTGGTCCGACGTGAAAGCGCAGGTTCCCGCAAGTCTCCTATTCCTGGATCATTAGAGCCGTTAGAGGCATGACTCGACACGCGCATAGTTCAGGCAGAATAAAACATAGATTGAGTTTCTGCACGTCGAACATTGACAGCGTAGCCAAACCGTACCGACAAATCACCTAACGAGGCGACGGATGAGTTCCACCCTCCGTCCCATAGCCTGAGGATGCAACACTCCGCGAGTGGATCAAGAGCGAGGTGCGAGGTGCGAGGTGCTCTGTTGTTTCTGATACTCTAATTTAACGGATTACTGTATTTTTGTCGGGCGCGACTTGGCACCCGACAAATCACCCCTGTCAATGATCCGGTACTTCCGGCTGCCGAGAAAACCTCAGGAAGTGGCTCCGCCAACATCCAATCGACATGTGGAAGACGAAACGGAACTGGGGATGAACGGTTCCACAGTAAATAATGGATTATTCTTTTTTTTTCCTCTTTGCGACTGCTGCTCCCACATCCCTTATTGAGTGTTCCTCCGACGTGTCTCCCACCGTCAGTTCATGCTGATTACAGGTGGTCCTACGTGGAGACCGGGCGAAGCAAGGAGCGGAATGAAAACTGGGTTTGATACTGCGAGGTACAGACGCAATCACACGCATCACACACGCGTTCGATGGGCGGCGCAACGGCTTGGCATCCCCCTAGGTCGCGTGCCCTCCTTCCTCCAGTACCGCCAACATGCCGAGACCAGTCAACGCCCGGGATGTCAGTCGTGTCTCCAGTCCCCGCCGCTCCTTCTTTGCTACAGCCCCCTTGGCAACCCCCTATCAGACGGCTCTGTGTGGTCGCACCCGCACGTGTGTCGTCCAAGGCTGATGGGGAAAAATAGGAATCCCAACAACGCCTGGACGCCGATCTGACAATGCTTGGCCCCGATGCTGCTTTTTATGCTGGATACTGGGGCGCGTCGAGTGGGTTTGTTCCGCCCGGAGGCAGCAGCTGTGCCCTGGGATTCTTATTAGCCTCGTCATCCCTCTCTTTTCTTCCCCAGGTGGTTACGAGTCTCTGGGAGGTTTTTGGCATTTTACAAGTATTAATCGATTATCATTCACTCCTTTCTCTGTCTCCTTTGGAGAGAGACAGCACCGGTTCCCTTCTTCACATCAAGACGGATATTGTGATACCCTTCGGGACGCTCCCGATTTCCCCGTTGACTTTCTTCTCTCCATTTTTTTCATTGGGTTAGACTGCGACCATGGCTTCGTCGATCCCAGCCCTGAAGAACGTGGTCGAGCCGGCATGTAAGTTACACCGAGACGCAAAGGTTCTGTATGATCTTGTTCAAACACTGACCAACGTGTTCTCTCCAGTCATTGTCTTCGCGTTCACCATAGGCACCCTCATCAACCGCCGCAGACCGGAGTATGACGATGACGTAGACGCCTGCGAGCGTGGGTCGGAGGATTCGTCGTCTCGCCCCACCTCTCCGCTCCTGAAGCCGGGGATGCGCGTGGAGGCGGCGGAGGAGTCCCGCGTCAACAGCAACCTCATCGTTCGGTTCTACAGAACATTCCCCTTCCTTTCAGAGATTTGGTATTGGAATTTGACATACTGGTAAGCAAAACGTCCCTGAAGTTTTGTTTTTCTCGTCTCGTCTTGTTTCTCGTTGGTGTGGTACCGTGCAGATCAGGGGTCTAACTCTACTTCCACCGTCAGGGTCTACCAACTCCTCCGTGCGTTCTCGGCACGCATGATAGCCGGCGACGAAGCTGTATTCAACCGCGCCCGCGACCATGCCATCAGCATCCTGCACTTCGAGAGGTTCTTCGGCTTCGACATCGAGCTAGGCGTCCAGCAATATGTCCTCAACAGCGTGCCATGGCTGATGCCCATCCTGGCCAAGGTCTACTACTCACACATCAGCCTCGGCATCTGCTTCATCATTTACACGTATTCCTTCCTGCCGCCGAGCACGTTCCAGCGGATCCGTCGAACGATCGCCATGGACAACGTCGTCGCCTTCTTCATCGTCACCTCGTGGCGCTGCATGCCACCCCGACTGCTGCCGGCCGAATACGGATTCATCGACATTTTGCACAGTGCACAGGGAGGAGGGAACGCGTGGACTCACAACAAGTTCCAGCTCACGATTGCGGCTATGCCGAGTCTTCACTGCGGTACCGCCCTGTTCCTCGCATGGTCCATCTGCCGATTTTCGCCCCACCGCCCGCTACGCCTCATCGCGCCCCTGTGGCCCATGGCCATGTTCCTGACGATCGTTGCGACGGCGAACCACTTTGTTCTTGATGCGATGGTTGGTGCTATGGTTCCGGTCATTGGTTGGAGATACAACCACGTCATTCTCTACCTCAAGCCCATGCAGGACAAGGTCTTGGAGGGACTTGGGTTGAAGGTTCCGGATGATGAGAGGCCTGCCCCCATTCCGAAGGAGTGGTAGATTTCCTGTTGCACTGTGAGCGAATGATACATGAAGTTTGAAGATTGGGGTTCTTACGTTCTGTGGACTCGGTCCTAATTCATAATAAGACACGGTCACGATCACATTCTCCGTATAATAAGTATTCTTGTGTCGTTGACTGCGTGAGCAAGTTCGAATTACATCTATAAGGTACTCAAGTGTGTGAATTCAATCTTGGTGGCAATGACCCACAGTGCTATGCAACGGAGTTGGTGAAAGTCAGCGATACCAAGCTTTCTGCTGGAGGCCTTCCACCCAAGTCAGTATGTTCAGATGTGACCGGGGGGTGACGGCCTCATAAAGTGTGCCCCATCGTTCGCAAATAGTGCCACAGATGAAGAATGAATGCACGCCTCTCCGAACCCTTTTTATCTGTAACTACAGTGAACGAAACGTTTACAAACTTGTTGCAAACAATTATTCTAGTAAAGCCATCCAGTCGGCTGTTCGTGGTGATGCTATCACTCGCTAGTAATGATAGAAACATAGCCTGACTGCTCAAGACAACGCATCGCTTACTCCGGTTACGGTAGGGGGCAAGATCTACACGATTGACTTGGACAAAATTCCTTATGTCAAGTCCTTCAACAATTTCCAGCCGCTACCTTGTCGAACTGTATTCTAGCGCAAGTGCTTTAGACGAACCGAGAACCAGGTTTCTGAGACACAGTACAGCAAGTCAAATGCAAGGAGCAGAGTCTCAGTGATACCGGTTGACTGATTGAAAATTTGAAAGCGCTAAAGCATCGAGGAGCCCACTGCCCGATCTACACATGCTCATACCTTAGCGCAACACGGTGGCTGCAGGCGGTGTGCATGTGATACTCGGACTGGCAGAAACGCATAAATTGCCTGGACGCCAGAACGCCTTATCAGAAACAAAGTCGCAATACCATCAATTGATTGAGATTGCTTGCATTAGCCTTCGTGCCCTGACGTGCCAAAGCACTTGGGAAGGCTGCCTGGGTCTAGGGTATTCAGAAATGCGAGCTCCGCCGAAATAGATGGCCGGAATGCTTCTTCAGAATCTCTGGCGTTTTTTATTTATGCAACCAAAGAAAAAGGTATTACAAGAGAATCTTCGAAATCATACTGTCGTTGATCAATTTTGCTTGTCCTGACCAGACTACCACAAGATGTTGCAGCGGATCAATCCTGTTTGTAAGAACAGAGAGCTGTTGTAGCAATAGCTAAGAGCTGTCTCCCCATATGGAAAGACCCGAGTAACGGTAAGAATCATATGTCTCCTTGGAAGCTATCTGATATAATCGCTGATAATGCCCGAAGATTAGACTCGGCCAGTTCTTCTGCTCCGCGACAGCTCAGCGATGTCAGTTGCCAGAAACTGAAGCCAATGATAGAAAGAACCTTCAATTCAATCCCAAAATCGGAATTACAAGACATAGATGCCAGAATTCAAGCTCATCATCAGTCTGAAGTGGGCTCAGATTCAAAGTAAGCACATTGTAACTGCCACGACATGTACGAATGGCAGGGGAGATATTGAGCACGGGGCGTGCCCCGTAGTGGTGGGACGTTACCCATCAAATCGAGACAAACCTTGCCAATCTCATTCGGTGCTTGTCATAGAGTTGCCCAATGGAGTGCGCGGTACGGGTGCCAGTGTCAAATGAAGAAACGAAAGCAATAGTAGTCCTCTCAAGATTTAGGTCTCTCTCGTCATGCGTTTTATAGTACATATCAAAGGCTGTCAATTTGTCTTAGAACTAGAGGCTGAGAGTTAAGTATTATTCCTAATCTGTTACGACCCGTTATGTATGGATAACAGTCGACCGACCCACTTGGGCATCGGGCGGCTAGGATAAGACATTTGTACTGCAGGATCACGGGAACAACAGGGACTCACTCGGAGACGGAAGAACTATGGTACAGGTCACGTGATGATAAGAAGGACCGACGAAAGATAAGCGGTCCTGATCTAGGACCGACATGAAGAAAGCGGTCCACACCTGGGGACCGCTCGGAAGACATCGGTCCTCAGTTTAAAGAAACTACTTAGACTTATATATAGTATGACCCTAAGCCTGGCTCATGGTCAAACTTCTATAGCTCTTCAGCAATCAACTTAGTACTCATCCTCACAGATACTCTCAGCTTACCTTCACTGCGAATCACTTGTTGAGTCTAAGACTGATCACCTTAGCCTCTGAAGACCCGATCTACTACAGCCTACGAACTACGACCTACGACCACAACCTAGTGTACTGTTAGAACGTATCAATCCCCAGCTTCTGTTAGCAGACCCTACTGTCAGACAGCTGACCGTAACACTTTGATTGCTCCTGTTCAGTAAGTTGACTATTGATTCCTACTAATAGTAACGAACGATAATATCTTCCCGCGCCTCTGTTAAGTTGCCTACCCTGGGATCCTCGTCCACTTCAGGAGGACGAGCCAACCAAAACCTAGCCTAGGAACTAGGAGACCAGAAGATGAAGGACGACTCAGACAGCGAGGATGACACCAAAGAACTTAAGCGCCAGCTTAATAAGACTAATAGCAACTTTAAGGTAATGCGCGAAATATTCAACCAGAACGCAGCAGCCCTCAGCGAACTCCAGGAACAAGCCCGCAAGAACCAAGATCTAGAGAAAGAAGTCGCCACCCTCCGAGCTGCTGCTAACGTTATATCCACCCCAGTTGAAGGACGAGAACGCCTTAAGCTTAATATGCCTTCCACTTTCGACAGGACCCCAGGACAACTTAAAGGACACCTGGTATAAGTTCAAACCTACCAGGCCTTCCATATAAACACCTTCCAGAACGACACCAAACGCGTTATACACGCAGCCACCTTCCTTTGAGGACGAGCCCTTGCCTGGTTCGAACCCCTTCAACAGGAATAGCTTGACAACCCTGTCGAAAAATACAGCTAAGAAGTCAAGGACATCTTTTTCAGCTTCACAGGCTATGTAAAAGCCCTAGAATCTCTCTTCCTTGACCCCGATAAGCGAAGACAGGCCGAGTGAGACCTATCCCACCTACGACAAACCAAGTCAGCTACACTCTACGCTGCAGAGTTTAGGCGATTAGCTGCAAGACTCCACATAACTGACGAAAGCAAAGTTTTTGCCTTTTATCAAGGACTTAAGGATGATGTTAAAGACGAAATAGCCAAACTAGAGACACCTCCTAGCTTCCTCGCCTACGTCGAACATGCTATTAAGGTTGATAACCGCCTCTATAAACGACGAAAGGAACGAGGAGAGAAACGACAAAACCTAAATTCAGGACGTAAGTACTAATAGCAGCCTCAACAGAAGTTCAACAGCCAGCAGAACGACAACAGACCCTGCAACAACTGGAACAACACCCGCCAGAGCACCACCTATAGATAACACAGCAGACCTATAGATCTCAGCATGATGACTAAACCTAACAACAAAAAACCTTGGAACCCTAAGTGCTACAACTGCAATAAGCAAGGCTATATCGCTAAAGACTGCAGACAGCCTAAGAAGCTCCCCTGGAGACCAGTGGCAGAACGACCTCGATAAGTCAACATAATTGCAAAAGCCCTATATGCATCCTAATCGTGGACCAGATGCTATGACGATAACTGCTGAATTCACCTCAAAGACAAAGAAATATTAGGACACTACCTAAGGGACAGCAACCCTGGACGGTCTGGTTACAATATGACCATCCTAGACACTTGCCCTAGGACCCTGGCAATAATGCATTCCAGCAAAGTGGCTAGAAAACCAGTTGAACAACTTAACGAGATGCTACGAATTCAGCGATTAGAACTAATCACCCCCTGCATAACTAGCCAACAACTCCACCACGAAGAACAACAAATCCAGAAGGAAATAGAGCTAATCCAGCAAGAAGACGACAGATAAGTAAGACTATATCAACAATAAGAATCAGAAGAAGAACCAGAACACCAACACAATCCTCTGATAGAATAACAACTCCTCAGTATGACTAACAACTAGACTTTCAGAGAAGAAGAAAGCTCTTCCTATGACTCAGATAAACCTCGCGACGTTGCCTAACAACACGCCCAGACAGAGATCACCTATAGGTTCACCCCTAGTGTGGACGACTCCAGCTCTAAAGAGGAACCTGACAACCAGGAAGGAAGAATCAAACAACTTCTGAGATACTAAGAAATCAACATGCTTCAAGATAAGCAATAACGCCACTTCTATAGCACCTCAGCAGCCTAGCGAGACTGAGGCTACACCCCTCAGCTACATATGGAAGATCATCCTGCGCTGAGAAGCAACCACCAGCTTCACTGAACCCTCTTCTGGCCCTAGTGCTTCCACGACAAATGCAAGGAACACATAGGAGAAAAACATAATTACTAGTTCTATCCCAGAAGACATAACGACAAACCTATCCAGGAGATCTACACAACCTCCATTATGATTAGATAGACTATAGTACTGTTTAAAGACAACCTCACAGTCTTCAGACCTAGTCCTCAGTTCCCTATGAGATGTCAACATAACGACAGCATGAAATAGGATGAATGCTAATAAGACAAATGCTAAGTTTACTACTAAGAAAAGGTATAAGCATAGAGAATCATAAAGAACGGACCTAGACCCCTACAGATTAGGATCTGCGAAAACAGCCTCGCAAAAGCACGACGAGAAGGAAAGCAAATCACCTACCCAGGACAACCAGAGCAGTTAAAAAACTAGACTCGCCTACTGATGACGGATCATAACAGGCAACAAACATAAGATCTATTTATCAAATGTTATAAGGATATAAGGGTAATATCGAACTCAAAGTTACTATTAATCAACAGACGACACTCATGCTGATCGACAGCGGAGCTGAAGCAAACTTCATTACCCCCTGAGCTATCAATAGGCTAGAAATACGATAGGGAGGAAAAGAACGACCATATCAGTTACACACAGCAGAAGGAGAAGAATTCAAGTACGAAGGAGGTACCATCTATAATGAGACTGCGCCCCTCAAGATGAGCTACCTGAATCAAAAAGAAAGAATCCAATTCAATATTGCCGATCTAGGAACATACGACATAGTGCTAGGACTACCCTGGCTACGAACAAGCAACCCACAGATAGATTAGAGCAAAGGCTAACTCTATTGGGACCACGATGATTCAGTCCCTGAGCAGCCCTATAAGAATCAGGCCTCAAATAAATCAATACGACAAGGAACAGCAAAACGATACCTCTGTTACCTCAAGGCAAAAGAAGCTGTATTATAACCACCGATAACAATAGATCTTAAACAGAAGAACGATCTACTTCTGTCTATCCCAGAAGAATACAGAGTTTACGAGAAACTCTTTGCAGCCGAATTAGAAACCAGACTGCCCGAACACACCAGTTTCAACCACGAAATACCCCTCAAAAAAGGGAAGGAACCACGCTTCAACAAAATCTACGGACTTAACCAGACAGAGATAGAAGCCCTAGATAAGTACCTTGAAGAAAATCTCAAGAAGGGATATATCAGACCCTCAACGTCACCAGCAGGAAGCCTAATCCTGTTTGTACCCAAAAAGAACAGAAAACTGCGATTATGCGTTGACTACCGCATGCTAAACGAAATAACGATCAAGAACCGCTACCTACTACCACTTATCGACAAGATGAGACAACTCCTCCATAGAGCTAACTGGTTTACAGCCCTCAACCTTAAAGGAGCCTATAACCTGATCAGAATAAAGCAAGGAGAAGAATAGAAAACCGCTTTCTGAACCTGAAAAGGACATTTCAAGTACCTCGTCATGCCCTTCAGCCTCACTAACGCCCCTGCAACATTTCAAAATATGATCAACTAAGTCTTACGCAAATATGTCGACATCTGCGTAGTAGTCTATCTTAACAACATCCTCATCTTCTTATCGACACTTGAGAAACATAAGGAAGATATACACCACGTCTTATAAGCCCTCTAAGAAGCTAAGCTATTAGTTGAACCTGAGAAAAGCGAATTCCACACACAGAAGGTGGAATACCTCGGATTCACTATCACCCCTAGAAAAGTCTGTATGTCAGAAAACAAAGTCAAAGCCATCAAGGAATAGCTGGTACCTAACAACCTCAAGGAAGTCCAAGGATTTCTAGGTTTCGTCAACTTCTACTGCAAATTCATCAAAGACTATGGCAAAATCAACGCAGCTCTCACAAGCCTTAGCCGCAAAGACACGCCCTTTATATGGGAAGAACCACAACAAACAGCATTCCAGAAGATTAAGGACCTTATCGCTAGCGAGCCCGTCTTGAGCATTCCAGATCCAACAAAACAGTTCGAAGTAGAACCTGACGCATCCGACTATGCGATAGGAGCATAATTATCTCAATAAGATTCAGAAGGACGACTACACCTATGTGCCTTCTTTTCTCGCAAGCTCCACAGACCTGAACTCAACTATCAGGTTCACGATAAGGAACTTATGGCAATTATCGAAGCCTTTAAGGAATAGAGACCTGAGCTCTCAGGAACCACACACGAAGTACTTGTGTATTCAGACCATAAGAACCTTTCACACTTCACGACTTCAAAAGTGTTGAATAAACGACAGATTAGATGGTCAGAATTCCTATCAGAATTCAACTTCCGAATCATCCACTGCAAAGGATCAGATAATAGCAGAGCTGACGCTCTCAGCCGACGACCGGACTACAACGTCCCAGTACCTGAAGAAACCCAGGTGATTCTCAAAGGAAACAACGACGGAGACCTAGTGCCAGCAACCAAACTCTTAATGATAGCCGGACGATCTAGTACTAGCCCGCCTAACAAACTAGACGACGAAGCAATTATGGAGTTTCACGCTCGCCCTGCATATAGTCACCAAGGAATCACAAAGACCTAGAAACAACTACGACAATAATATGGAGAAAAGGTCACCAGAGAACAAGTGGCAAAAGCAATTAAGGATTGTGAGGTCTGCCTGAAAAGCAAACCCGCTCAACATCAGCTGTACAGCATGCTACAACCCTTACCTGTGCTGCAAACCGCCTAGCAATCCATATCCCTCGACTTCATCGTCAAATTACCGAAGTCTCGAGAACCCCTTATAGGAACACACTTTGACAGCGTTCTTGTTATTATGGACCAACTCATGAAATACGCCTACTTCATCCTATATAAAGAAGCAAGTAACGCTGAAGAATATGCCTACATATTTCTTAAATACATCATCGCCAACCATGGAACGCCCAGAGAGATTATATCAGACAGAGATAAGATCTTCACTTCTAAGTTCTGGAAGTTAATCACATCACAACTCAGCATCAAACAGTTAATATCCACTGCATTCCACCTGCAGACCGACAGATAAACAGAACGAATCAACCAAATCCTCAAAACATACCTCCACGCCTACGTCAACTACAACCAAGATAATTAGGTTGTACTGCTACTAATAGCCTAGTTCGCCTATAACAGCGCAGTAGGAGAAAGTACCAAGGAATCCCCCTTCTACCTCAACTATAGATTCAAACCAACCGCCTATAGAGAACCCTAAACAGGCCTAGCTGCAGTAAAAGCTGTCGCCTTAATACGCTAAATCAAGGATATCCAGGAAAACGCACGCAAAGAACTTGAATTCGTACGACAAAGAATGACAAAATTTAGCAACAAACGAAGGATTAAGGGACCAACCTTAAAAGAGGGAGATAGCGCCTATCTTATACGGCGAAACATCAAGATAAAGCGACCAAACGACAAACTCAACTATAAAAAACTCAGACCTTTCAAAATTTCACGAGTAATCTCACCAGTCAACTACGAACTAGGACTCTCAGAAACCATAAAGTGTCACCCAGTATTCTATGTCTCACTCCTCGAACCAGCACCATGTAGATCACAAACAAACGATATTATCATCGTCAAAGATAACAAACCAGAGTATGAAGTTAAACAGATTATCAACCACCTCAAAGAACCAGAAGGGTATTAATACCTTATCAAATAGAAAGGATATAGATATAAAGACAACATATAGGAACCAGCTAAAAATATCACTAACGCAGCAGAAGAACTCACGATCTACTGGCAACAACACTAAGAATAAGAAGTCACACTAGCACCTGTTATACTAGCCTAAAAGAACGATAGATATAAGCAGATTAAGCACCCTCATCACTTCACCAGACCACCCACAGAAGCAGATCGACCGCAATAAGGAAAACTATTTATTCGCCTAGGAACACCAGAAACAAGCTAAGACGACACTAAAGCACCACCAGCATTAGACACCAAAGGGCCTAGATCGACAAAGTCCAGACTAAAGCCAAACTCTTGCCACTCTGGATCGTTAGGCACCCCAGCAGCCTGAAGGTTGTTCACAACCTACTTCTCATGAGCATCTAACGCTAGAAGCACACTATCC